TGAAGCTTATTGGCCGCTGTACGAAGGGAAATTGATCTTCCCGCCATTCGGACAGAGGCGTGAACCGGGGCGCCCGAGGAAAAAGAGAATTCAGAATGAAATGGATCAAAGTGGAAGACCACCACGAGGCCCAAGACGGTGTTCAGTATGCAAAGTTCCAGGACATGATAAACGAAGGTGTCCAGGACCGATTGGTTCGCAAAATCCGGGTGATGATGTGCCGGAATCAGCTAATGCGACATAATTTTCGATTATCATTCGTCAAGCTATTTGTAACTCTTATGTTGCATTTAATTGTGTATTGTTGATTGAACGAATTGGGATTATATCAAGTGAAGTGGAATCATGATAATAACAAAAGAGGATGAAACTCAACGAAATACGATAGATTAAATTAAAGGGAATAGTTCAAAGTACATAGAGATAAAAATAAACTCAAAATACATCTCAAGGAAGTCCACGAGCGGATGCGGAACCCACAGTTTTCTTGCTCCTTGTATGTTTGCCGACGGGAGTAACAACGGGTGGTAGAGGTGGCAAGTTTCGAGCGGCCGAGGTAGTGTGGCGCTCGTCGGTGTTATGTCGGCGGGGAAGCGGCACTTCCGGGGTCGAGCGGGCGACATCGGCGCTCATACGGTGAGGAGTAGGAGGCCACTGATGAGGAGGTCGATTCCATGGGGTGAACTCGTGTTGGCCTGTCGTGGAGGAGCCATCATGCCAAGTCCCAGATGATGTTTGGCGGGGAGATTGCCGGGAATCGTAGTATGTTTGGCGGGGATCGTTGTATGAGATCGGGGTGGGAGATAATGGGGCTTGGTGGAAACTCTGAGAGGATTGATGGTAGGTCGAGCGGGGATCGTAGTATGAGCTTTGGTGGTGATCGTTGTGGAAGAAGGGGCGGAAATCTTGGGATGAAGTCGGGCCGGCATCTTGTGAAATAGTCGGGCGGGGAGATGGGGCGGAGGACGGGCGGGGACCTTGGGTGGAACTCGGTCCGGCACCTTGGGTGGAACTTTGTCTGGCACCTTGGGTGACAACCAATGGGGGCGCCACTCTCCACCCCCCCAAATGGCGTTACCTCGGGCTCGATGGGCCTTTCCCGAACCCTCTTGCTCTTCTTTCTCTCGTATGGTGGTGGGGGTGCGGGGACATCAAGTTGTACCGGAGGTGGTGGGGGTGCGGCACGGGGCGGATATCTACGATGATCCCGGCCCTGAGCTCTGATACAGCCAAGTAGACTGTTTGCAATCCTCCTGATGAAGCCCACATCTTCATTGCCCAACTCATTTCTTCCGGTAGTAATATCTTTAATCCGCTCGACCCCATCAGCCTAAATCACAAAAAAAAAAAAATTTACAAAGAGATTTTAGGAACCAAGTAATAAATCATAGTATGTTTAGACTGGTTATACTTACTAATGCACCATCGGCCGCACCCTCCGGAGTCATGTAACGAACCGATGTTTGCCGATATCGATCCAAGTATGGGTCATGATACCCCATTCGGCCCACTTGATTTGGAGTGACAATATCCTGTAGTTGTCGGTTCTCCCAAATCACGATGAATTCCCTCAACTTCGTGGGCCAATCGCGAGTACCTTGCCGACCATCTCGGCCATGGAAGGCATTTTGACTTTCGGGGACCTCCAACGGAATGCACTGTTCCCGACCAAACTGACGGAGGCATCGATCCGGCAAGTGCCACTCCACGGTCCCAAAACAAATTAGAGGAACCCTCGTGCACCATTGCCCGATATGACCGGGGAATTGCTGGAGATGCCATTGAATGATGTTCTCCGGGTATGGATCGAAGACAATCTACAAGAAAGAAATGAGTAACGTAAGATTAATTAATTAGAAAAATACATGTAGTCCCATTAAAAACAAATATAAATGGATCGCAGTATAGAAGTTACCTCTCCTTGCCAAAGTCGCTCAAACCTCCTCCGATACTCCTCCAACTTGTGTTGGGCAAGGTTGTCGCATGTTGTGTGTCCAAGCCACCTTATTAATAAGACAAGAATGAAACTACAATAAGATAAAACACAAGGCAAAATGTGTTATGACTACATGATGGGGTATGAGAAGTTTACCTTGCTCCATAAGCTTCACCTCTTAGGGGATGATCGATTGGCCAATCCCTGTCTGGACGTTGGGCCGGTGCAAGCCATGGCATATGCTCCCAAGCCCAAAATTGGACGATGAACATTGCGCCGCTGACCTCCCTCACGGCTTTTAGAGATGCATTGCACAAGTTGTGGTAGATCATAGCTAGGCAAGCGGATGCCCAACTATACTCCCCCATCTCCTCCCAACTACTGAAGATGATCCTAAGCCATCCACAACTAAGGAGATTGCTTGCTTTCTTGGAGAAGAACACTCCTCCGATCATGCCTATGAGATAGACACGAGCATATCTCTCCTTCTCATCCTCCGGACTTTCCTCGGTAAGCGGATGACTCTCGTAATGATCTCTAAAATACTTCGTCAACCATGTAATTGAGACTTGGTGCTTCCTCATTGGTGGCATGCGATCGGTCGCATCAACGCAACCCTTCACCGATACTCTCACTCCCAAATGACTGTGGATGAAATGCTGCCAACCGGGCATACCGTCACAATCCTCGGGGGGATGATCACTCACGCACACCGGTTTGCCGTCGATGGGCAGATGGGTTAGGATGGCGACATCCTGTAGCGTGATGGTGGCCTCTCCTTCTCTAAAGTTGAAACAATGGGTCTCCTTTCTCCATCTCTCGGCTAATGCGGTGATGAGTTGGCGATCGATTTGGATGCCGTTAAAATGCCGAATCGAGTCTAACCGTGCCCTTTTGAGAAATGGCAAGATAGCTGGGTGGAATGGGAGCACATTGGTGGTACCCCTGTAGCGGATTATTGTTTGTGCCTCCTAGCAAAAATGTACACGTTAATTATTATTAGTAAGGGTTTTTTTTCGTATAACTAAATTAATTAAATTAAATTATGCGACATAAAACATAGTTTTATTATCATAAAAAGACATTTCATATTATCATATTATCATAAAACAAACGTCCTAAATTAATTAACATAATAACATTGTCAATGAATAATAATTTAAAGAGGTACATACATATTATCGTAAAACAAACATACTAAATTAATTAACATAAATAACATTGTTAATGAATAATAATTTAAGTAGAAACATACATATTCAAATGTTTGGTAAATAATTTAATCGTATTAGTTGTTTTAAATAATTTAATCGAATACAAAGCAACACTCGTTAGACTCTTAGAAGAGGTATACATCTTCTTAGAAACACAGTCTTTTTGACAGAAAAAGGGGGGATCCGAGGATCTCTTAATACCCGATTTTCCCAGGTAATGGGAGGATATGATAATCGCTAAAACCCCATTTCCTTAGACGTGCATCTCTTTATAAAGAGTCGAAGTAAGTGGCGCTATGTATTCGATTAAATTATTGAAAACCACCAACACGATTAAAAAATAAACATAAATTTATTTTATATTAACAAAATAAAAGAAGGACAAATGGTGAAGAATTGTATGTACCGGGTGATCGTTCCAAACATCCCTTGACCGATGGTTGGGTTGGTCGTACAAGTCGGTTGGATCCACCGGTCCTTGCTCGAGATAATACCGTTGGTTGTATATATCGACGTCCTCCCCAACCTACGAGAAAATAACAACGAGGTTAGTACATAGATTAATTAAAAAACTTATAACAACAATAAAAATTAAACATGGATAATGAGTACATACCGCTTGAAATTCATCAACATAAACTCCTTCTCCTTGCCACCAATCGGCCATTTTTTTGGCGTAATTCGGACAGAGCTTCAGCTCGGCTCGGCGGGTTTTTGAGAAAAAAAACCTAAGAAATATTTTCTGATGGCAGATCGGACTTAGCCGCAACCAACAGACTTTTATTTCCTAGGCTTTTGGGAGGGGAGGGTTTAGAGAGATTATATCTAGAGAGAGAAGGAAGAATGGTGGTGTGGAGTGAAGAAATGAGAGGGGGAAGGGGGGTATTTATACCCAACAGATCGCACCCCTCATTAATTTTACCCCGTCGAAATCGCATCTCCCCGATGCGATCTCCGCGTCCCGAGGCGTTGAACGCTCTGGAAACTGACGCTCCACTTTTCCAGGCGAGAAATCGCACCTCGCCAGTGCGATCCACAATCCACTGCGCGGATTGCTGACGTGGCTATGCTCCAGCCCGTTGGATCGCACCTCAATAATGCGAACTGGAAGGTCGCTGGCCACCAAATATTGAACGCATCTTGGGGATGCGTTTTACAGCATAAATCGCATCTTAGGGGTGCGATTTATGGTGGAAACGCATTCTTAGGCTGCGTTTCATTTATAAAACGCACTTCTAAGGTGCGTTCCATTAAAATAGGTGCTAGTTTTGTAATTATTTTTGGAAGGGTGCTAGTATTGTAATTTTTCTTTTTAAAGGTGCTATTATTGGAAAAATCTCCCTTTATGTTCCTTGCAATTAAAATTTTGGAACAAAGAACAAGGCAACATGAAAAGGAAAACTTACATTAAAAATAAGAGAAAAAGGAAACAAAATTTAATTCTCATCCCCACTTCCTGTCGTATCCTAGCATTTACAGTCCCTAACCTTCTACAATCTACATTTTCAGTGTTGAATTCATTAATTCTCTCTATTCTTCCTTATTTGTAGAGACTAGAGTGGAGATATTATAGGCCAGCATCGGTTTATGACCGGTTTCTAATACCGATTAACTACCAGTTATTCAATAAACCTTAAACCTCTTATTAATCCGGAACGATGGCCGGTTCGGTTTTGACAACCTGATAATTAGAGCTTTGTTGTTATTCGTATACCCCTACCTTTCCTCCCCCTCTGCTTTTCCTCTCGTTTTTCTTCTATCTTGAAGCTCCCTCCCTCCCTCCCTCTTGTAGTTAAATTCATTTGATATGAGTAATCGGAGCAATACTTTCCTCATGAAATTGCTCTCTTCTTTTCTGATGGTTCTTACCATCCCTTGTTTTGAACATCCGAGTTGAAGCGTGTATTCATTCTCTTTGAAGATCGGGAGGTACTTCTATTCTGGGTGAGATGAGATCTCCAGCAACCAGGTTGGTTCTTCGTTTACTTCTCTTCAAGTTATTTTAGTGATTGTGTTGTGGTTTATGTGAAAGAAAGATTTTAGTTGGCTGGGCTTCTTTTCTAACTTTGTTACAGCCCAGTTTGGGATTTTGGTGCGTCTATTTCATTTCAATTCAGTCATTTTCTTGTTTTTAAACATAAACATAAGAAGCAATTTTTACTGGGCTCTCACCGGATTGCAGCCCAGTAAACCGAATGAGACCATTTTTATTCAAGTTACCGGGCTCGCTTGTTAAATGGGTTGTAGCCCAGTAATTGTTATTCGGATTTACTCGCTAAAATCCTAATAGTTGAAACTAGCGGCATATTTACAGTCCTCCTCTCCAATTTTCCGTAAGCAGGAGAACAACTTCTGCTCTCTGTTTTCATTCCGATTTCCACTGTTCGTAAGTTCTCGCTCTGTTTTAATCCATGGCTTCTCTGTCTAGCGCAGTGTGCGTGCAGAATTAGTGTTCTTTTTGTCGACGAATTTAGTTTTACACCTATGATTCTTCGTCTCCAAATACTAGTTCTGCGGTTGCTTCTTCCGATTTTATTTACGGCATTATTAGTGTTCTTTTTGTCCACGAATTCAGCATTCTTCCTATGGTTCTTCGTCTTTAAAAATGCTAGATCTGCCTTTCATGTGGTTCTTAGTCTGCCTTTAGACGTATTACGTATAGAGATGATTGAAACGGTCGTTCTGTTTTGCGACATTAAAATATTAGCACGTTTCCCTGATTCTGCATCTCTAATTCCTAGATCGAGATTTTTTTGTTTTCTTTTCTTGTCGTTTCCTTGTATTGCGATGATTGTGGTGGTCGTTGTCCTGTTTTGTGCTGACTTGGTTTTGTTCTTGCTTTTAATTGAAGTTCCATTTTTTTGGTTTCAGGATCGTCTGTCTTTCTTAAGAGTTGGCGTTTTTCATCTGATGGCATCTGCACAATTCAATGTTGTTCCAACATCAGCTGCGCTTAGAACTGCGCTCAGTGAAGAGTTGGTTTCAGTAGCTAACGTGATCCACCAGTTTCCTGAGATGCCTGATATCCTTGGTCGGGCACTCCAATTCCATCAGCTTCTTGTAGCCAAGAAGCTTAGTCTTGTTGATGAAAGTGTAGTGCCCAATGAGGTTAACCTATCCCTTACCAATCTCTCTGTTTTGGATGATCACCTGCAAGTCCTTGTTCCAGGAGCTAATGTTCAAGGTTTGGTAATTCTGTCTGGATGTTTGCTTAAATGAACTGCTGATAGTGCTAAATTTATATGATGAACTACTGAATAATTGTAATGTCTTTGTGCGCTAAATTTGTATACTGTTGGTGTTATTTGATCCTTGTGAATTTAGGTGCAGATATTCTTAACGTTGTCAGATCCGAGTGCACACTGTGTGATGAGTATCTAGCACATGTTATCCCCCGCGGTATTTCCTACCGTGCTGTGACTGGTTATAATGCTTGTTTGTATCGGAAGGTTGTTGAATTGAAGTTTGGTAAGTCAGTAAAACATTTGAATCCCTCTAATGCTAATATAGGTCAGGATAATAGACATTGTTTTAGTAATTGGAGCAATACTCCCCCCATGTAACTGTTCATTTATTTTCTCATTGTTCTTTACATCCTTGACAGTAACCAAGTGTTTCTTATTTTAATTTTTTCAATTCGAAACTGTTTGAAGTATATACTCTTTTTTTATACTTCTTCTAGTTGTCATTGAATACATTTATATATTGATGTTTTCTGTTGTCATCAGTTGCTGGAGGTGGGATTGCTAATCCCCAGGCCAATATTCCTATTGAGCCAGCTCCTACTGGAGAATCTGAAGTATCTGGTATATTGCTTTTTTTTCCTTTTGTATTTTAGATCTGTATTTTTTTCAATTGGAATTTGAGATGGTAGGATATATATATGTAATTTTGATGTGTTTTCGTTACTTGTGTTCCCGGTGCCCCTTGCAGCCTTTGATATAGCAGTCAATACTTAACCAAGAGAATGGTTGAGGGAGGGGAGGGAGTAACGACAGTACCGAGGGCAACTAACAGTTGGTAGTCATGTTATTGTTGATATTGAGGTTGATTTGTACTTCTGGTATTTTGTTGGAGTAGAATTGAAGAATTATGTTTAGTACTTCGTTTGGCTTTGTTAGGCATTTACTATTGAAATTGCTACCTTTGGTATTCTGTTGAGCGTAATTGTTTGGTGCTTGGGATTTGTTAGTCATTTACAGATTTACTGCTGAGATTTGTTAGTTGATTTGCTACTTAGTATTCATGTTAAGCAATGTTGTCGGAACCGAACCGGTGTATGAAGCTGTTATAAATTCGTTAATGAATCGGTGTCTAATAAATCAAAATAGGGTTAATAGCATTTTGTACCCCCTCTACTATTGCAAATTAACAAACATGCGTCTGTATTATTTGTTTGCACAAATATACTCTTCTAATATCATCTTCTGTCAATGATTTTGTTTAGTCGTCGTTAATTGGGGTAGGGAATGACCCAATTACCCCCAATTGATTCTTTACTACCATCCCTCCCCCTTAAGCTATCGAAGAAAACCCAACCCCTTCCTAATTCCTTCATCTCGTCGACCAAGCTTCACCAATAGCCATTAGGTGGGCGCCGGGCGCCGGGACAAGTTGGTGGACGGCGGAGGTGAAGATGATCGCCAGACTCGGTGGTGTGGTCGACAGGCAAGTTAGATTAGAGATTTTTTTTTAATCCGTCTGCACAAAGAGAATTAAATTTGAATTTCAATAAGAGGTAATTGGGTCACTTCGCAGCCCAATTAACAATGGTGACTAAACAACATTTCTAACGGAAGGATATTTTTGTTATATCGTGATATCTCTTATTATACACTTTCACTATTTTTTGTTTTGTTTGAGATATCTAATTTTATACATATACGAGAAGATTCCACTAATACTTCCATAAGATCATGTTGAATGTAAATAATGGATGATTTTTATTCGTTGGAAACCACATAGACCACAGTCCTTTTTTCAGAGGCTGAGAACGAGAATATGGTGTAGGCGTGTAGCCTTCGGACTTCCAGTTCCAGGGCATGGGTGCAGTGGCACAAAAACGGCAGCGTTCTTTTGTCGTCCTCGCAAAATTTCGAAAGTCCAAACTGAAAATGACGTCCAGCCGGTGTGTACGTGGCACCGGGTCGTGCCGCTCATGGGCTAGCACGGCACGGTACGGTTAGAGCACGACACGAGCACGGGCGCGAAATAAATGGATCAGCCCGCCACGAGCATGAATAATTTATGGGTCGTGCCGGGTCTAAACTTCATGGGCACGGGCACGAGCACGGTATATAAGTGGGCCGTGTCGGGCCTAACATTTTCGAGACTTTATTGAGTATAAGAACGGACATGGCAGGAAAATACTATTTATTTGATAGAAAATAAGTATAAAAAGAATTATAGGTTCAAATATTACAAAACACAAGTAGAAAAATAATTATTTGTTGTTGTTAGAAGTAGGGGTGGGCACGTGGGTGGGTAATCCGCGGATTGATATCAATCCACCCGCAAATAACCCGACCCGCATATAGTGGGTGATTGATGTGGGTGGATTGCGGATTGATAAATCTCCCACCCGCACTTATGTGGGTGGGTGGTGGGTGGATTGCGGGTCACCCGTATGACTCGCATCCGATTGATACATGCAAAATGTTGTGTCTTACAGTATCAAATATTCATCATATTTTTGAACCGCACTACAGTCTGACCATATATTTCTAAAGGTGGAGAATATATAATAGTTTTGACTATTATTATTGGCTACTGTGTTGTGCAATATCCATTAGACATTGGATATATGTATGCAAATTATTGTTAATATCTATTAAATATAGGGATGCAAAGTATAAATTATTAATTGTATCAAAATCACAAATATTTTATACAATCTTACTAATTTGCTATGAACTTATTAGAAATGTTAGTCACCTTTCTTAATGGCTAGTTGGAGAATTGTTTTTGCGGGTTGACCCACGACCCAACCGCACCCAACCGCCACCCACCCAACCCAATCCGCAAAAGTATGTGGGAGGATTGCGGGTCACAGTTATTCCAACTCGCTAATAAGTGGGCGAGTCAATTTGAAATCAAAACCTACCCAACCCGCCCATTGCCCACCCCTAGTTAGAAGTGTCATAAAGATATATACGTAATTACTAACATAAGTAAAAATGAACAAAGAATTAAACAAAGCCAAATCACACTCGCTATACTTTCAATCTTCTTTTCCCCCCTATTTGTTACTTTTATCAAATATTATCGGTTAATACTATCTTCCCCGTCCAATTTTCACCTTCTTTTTCATTCTCTCTTTTGTTTTTGTCATTTTCATTAAACACGAATACGAGCATGACACGAGCACGAATAGGCACGACACGATTAGAACCATGCCCGAACCTGTGTCGGGCCTAGCAAAGATGACAAATGAATTTACATGACATGACACGAAAACTGACGAGCCGTGCCAAACACAACATGAAATAAATGGGCCCGAAGCGTGCCCGTGCCGTGCCGGCCCATGCATGGCCGAGTGCGGCAGTGTCCGTGTAGACGGTGGGATTCTGCATTCCTCGTAAAAATAATAAAAAGAAAAGCGAAAACAGAAAAAACTATCAGTTACTGTTAGATTAAGTAGGTGGAGAGACGACATTATAGAAAAAAGAAAAGGCGTTGCCAAAAAAAAATCCCATTATCGGATATCTCCATCTTCCCCACTCAACACACCGGACGCTCACTGAGAAAGGAATAACCCTAGAAATCTTCCCCTTCCCAATCCAATTACTCAGCTTCCCCTTTTGCGTCGTCGATTGCTGAACTCTTCTGCGATATTCCATGGCGTCCGCTGCGTCGCCGAACTGCCCTCAGCTTCGATTAGCCTTCAACTCCGGGAAATGTCGAGGAGCTTCAAGTCCGGCGCTTCTGGTGAGAGGTCGTCCAGGGAAGCTCAATCGTAATGTTCGCCTGCTCTGTGTAGCTCAGAGCGGAACGGGACGGTCTCGCAATTGGAGCTCCTGGGCTGTTTCCTCCTCCTCGTCCTCCACCAAGGATAATTTCGCTGGATGGTCCGATTCCGCCAATGGAGAAGATCAGTCCAAGTCCGAAGGGAAGAATTGGTTTGGAGGTACGAGATGGAGACCTTTTTGGTGCCTGAGAAAATCTATGATCGTGTGCGTTTCACTAGTTAATCGAGTCGACTGCTCTACCATATCTTGGACCAGAATAAGTAGTTGAGAGTAGTTTGCTTTCAGGGTATGTGACCGCCGGAGCAGCTGGGCTCGTCTTGGTCGCTGGCGTTACATTGGCCGGCTTAGCGCTTAACAACCGGAGCACATCAAGTAGTAAGTCGTTGACTTGCTGGTTGTTAAATTCTAAGATTTGGATAATTTCTTTTTGACAATTTCCTCAATTTTTGAGGTCTCAGAGGTAAGATTTTATGTCAAATATTAGTGTATGATTAAATTTATGTTGCAACAAACAGAACCAGATCAACATATGGAGCCATTAACGCCTCAAAAGGAAGCATTTTTGTCATCCGAGAGGGACGATGATAGAGCTGTGGATGATAAAACTGCAGAAGATCATGGGAAGACTGGTGTAAATGGCCTTGAGACTGAGGAAGATATAGCTTCATCGCCCGAACTTGACGAAATGCCAAGTGAAAATAAGCTTGGTAATAATTATCAGCTTCCTCCAGAAGGAAATGGTGAATTGTCTATTGGCTCGGCTGTTGCAGCTATTCATGCTTCCGCGGTAGAAGAGCTAGAAACTGTTTTGTCTATTGATGTTGATTCGGTTGTGCGTGAGATGAAGTCCTGCTCTTCCCAGAATGAGTTGAGTGCTGAAATTGAAAGCGGAAGAAGCATCTCAAGTCTTATGCAATCGGTTGCTGTGGCTGAAGAAACCTTGGTAGTTGATAAGCCTGGCGCTGAATCCGATTCAGTGAACAGTAACATCGATGAAGTTGTGGATTTGTCTGCCTTGAAGTTTGAAGGAAATTCCATTTCCTTGACTTCCTCTCAATCTGTGGTTGATGAAGTTGTGGAGCCAAATGCTGCACTTGTTTCTGACAGTTCACCAAGTGAGAACCTTGACCAGAGTGAAACTGTACCGTTAAAAATGGAGAGTACTACCTCAACTGTAGATGTGAATTACTTGCAAGAAAACGTGTCTCCTGAAACATCTTTGCCTTCATCATCTGCTTCCACAAATGTGCTAGAGAGAATTTTATCTGAGCCAGATGAAAGTAGATTGTTTGGTGAATCACAAGTGCCCTTGAGTGCTTTCTCCTCTGTGGGCATACCTGCTCCATCTGCAGTTTTTGAGGCTCTCCGTGTGCCACCTGGCAAGCTTCTGGTTCCTGCTGCTATTGATCAAGGTCAGGGTCAAACACTTGCAGCCCTGCAAGTTCTGAAGGTACAATTTGTTGCTGGTTTTTGTGTCTATATCACGAAGCTTGACTATACAGACTGCAAGCGAGACGGACTATTTATTGAACCTTTTTGTTCCAGGTTATTGAGGCTGATGCTCAACCTGGTGATTTATGCTCACGTCGTGAATATGCTCGCTGGTTGATTTCTGCCAGTGGTCTTTCAAGGTGAATCGTTTTTCTTCTTAAATGGAAAATAGCTCCTATCAAACTATAGAATTTCAGGATTGACTTTTTTTTTATTCATTGTTGAAGAAACCCTGTATCAAAAGTATATCCCGCCATGTACATAGAGAATGTTACTGAACTGGCATTTGATGATGTTACTCCTGATGATCCCGACTTTGCATCCATTCAAGGTGAGAAAACTGTAATTCAGAATTTTTTGCCTTGCAAATATGATTGATGAAGCTCTATTGACCGTGTGGTCCCTAAATAAGTTAAGTATTTCAGGTTTGGCTGAAGCAGGACTTATTTCAAGCAAGCTGTCAAGCCATGATTTGAAGTCTGCATCAGTAGAAGAGGAAGAAGTTCCATTTCACTTCTCCCCCGAAAGGTGATTGCCTAGGCCTTTTGTGTGAACTTATCATGAGTATTCAATTTTTCTGTAAAGCAGCCTTCCTCTACTTGTGTATGCTCATGAGCGCTTATAATGCAGCCCTTTATCACGTCAGGATCTTGTAAGTTGGAAGGTGGCCTTGGAGAAGAGACAACTTCCAGAAGCTGATAAAAAGGTTGTCTGGCGTTAAAATTTCTCATGTTTTCTACTTCTGATGCTCTTTAGGCAATGAGTCTCACAAATCTGTATGATACATTGTCATATGCAGATCTTGTATCAAGTCTCTGGTTTCAGAGACATCGATAGAATTCATCCAGATGCATGGCCGGCACTAGTAGCCGACTTATCATCAGGAGACCAAGGAATAGTCTCTCTTGCTTTTGGTCAGTCTTCATCTTCCATCTTCCATCTCCCTTCCCATATCTCTTTCTCCCTTGTTCGTCTTGGATAAATCATCATCACCTTCCATCTCTCTTTCTCTCCCTTGTTCGTCCTGAATAACTCATCACGGCCTTCTTCCTCTCTCTTGTTATTCACAGGTTGCACAAGGCTCTTCCAACCAGATAAACCTGTTACAAAGGCTCAAGCTGCCATAGCTCTCGCACTTGGTGAAGCTTCCGACTTAGTTAGCGAGGAGCTCGCTCGCATTGAAGCAGAATCCATGGCGGAAAATGCAGTGTCTGCCCATAATGCCATAGTGGCTGAAGTCGAACAGGACATCAATGCTAGCTTTGAGAAGGAGCTCTCCATAGAGAGGGAAAAGATTAATGCTGTGGAGAGAATGGCTGAAGAGGCAAAGAGTGAACTAGCTAAGCTAAAGGCTCAGAGGGAGGAAGACAATATTTCTCTAGTAAAGGAACGTGCTGCTATCGAATCGGAAATGGAGGTTCTAACAAAAATCAGAGGCGAGATGGAGGAGCAATTGGAAAACCTTTTGAAGGATAAGGTGGAGATATCGTATGAAAAGGAAAGGATCAGCAAGCTTCAGAAACAGGCAGAGGAAGAAAAGCAGGAGGTTTCCCGTCTCCAGTATGAGTTGGAGGTTGAGCGTAGAGCCTTGTCCATGGCTAGGTAATGCTTCCAGATTTCACTGCTCAATATTTCATATTGCATAACTTATGACTGTCCCGTGTGAGAAAGATGTGCTCAAGAAATACGTGTATTTATGAGTTATGACAATGCATAGTCTCGATTCACAAATTTTTATTTTTTTTAAACACGTTGTAATCAACTCATTCTCAAAACACTTATTCTAACAATCAAATTGGCACCATCTTCCTGTCTCACTTTTCAGGGTTTGGGCTGAGGACGAGGCTAAACGAGCAAGAGACCAAGCGAAAGCCCTCGAAGAAGCCCGCGACAGGTGGGGGAAACAAGGGATCAAAGTAGTCGTCGACAGCGACCTCCAGGAAGAAGAGACATCTGCTGCCGGAACATGGGTGTCTGCCTCCGAGCAATTCTCCGCCGAAGAAACAGTCGCCCGAGCGGAAACCTTGACCGACAAGCTCAAGCTCCTGTCCGCTAGAGTGACGGGAAAATCAAAAGAAATCATCAACACCATCGTGCAGAAGATCCTGACCTTCATTTCAGCTCTTAGAGAGTGGGCTTCAAAGACTGGAGCACAAGCTGAACAAGCTAAAGAAGCTGCTGTCTCGAAGGTAACAGAGTTCAGCACTGCAGTGAAGGAAAGGGCAAGTGGCTCACTCGAGGAGATGCAGCAAAGCACTGCAGAATTTGGGTCGACGGTGAAGGAAGGGGTGAAACGAGTAGCCGGCGACTGCAGGGTAGGAGTAGAGAAGCTGACGCAGAGGTTCGTCAAGTCATCTTGAATATACACAACTCCACAACGATAACCGTACCGTGTTTTCTCCACCATTTCCCCCATTTTTGGACTAGTGAATAAAGCTTTCTCCTTGGCTGCTGAGGATTCGGCCAGAACTGTATAATTGTTTGTACTTTGTACCATCATCAACTTCTCACACGGGGTAGTGGTTTGTTAACATGGCAACCAAAACATGAAAACAGAGAGTGGAGAATTGTAGAGCTTCATGTTCAATACTTATACAATAAACTTCAGCTTTTACTTACTCCAATAGCAAATTATCGGAGTTATCATAATTAGTCAAGCAAATATGCAGCCAATCAGCGGGCTGCGATGAATAAACGAGGTCTATAAGGCTGTGTCCAATCCGTTCAACCCGCCCCGCAACCCGAATTGACTAAGGGGTCATCCACAGGTTTTGGGTGTGGGATTTGGGCACAATCCTACATAGTGTGGGATTTTAATTAAAATCACTCGTTTGGAAAGCAATTATATGATAAGAGATTTTAAATATTAGAGATTACAGAAACCCACAATTGTGGGATTATAAAATAGCTGATGGTGATCAGCTATTTTAAAATCCCACACAAATTCCACAAATTAAAAAACTGGGTTTTTAAACCAGTTATTTGAGCCAAAATCCCACAAATTAAAAACCTGGATCCAAATGACCCCTAAAAATTAACGATCCGCAACCAGCCCGACCTGTAACCCGATTAACCTGCAACCCGACTGACCAACCCGATAAATCCGAACCCGATTGACCCGAAACCCGATTAAACTATAAACTGATTAACCCGAAACCCTATTGAATCGAATCCGACTAACCCGAACCCGCCCGATTGTCCTGAATAATTACTATATTATATAATATATTGTCTTTCAAAAAAAAAAATTCATTCTTAACCTAAGTAAAATCATTTATCATTTAGTAAAGAAAGTTCAAAATCTGAAATTCACTTGGAATTATGCTCTTTAGTTACAAAAATTATAGCATAAATTTCTTTGACCAAATTAAAAAAAGTAAATATTTTAAATCAGCACAATGCTAATATTTATAATAAATAATAACTAAGACATTTGTCTATAGTAATAAACTTTAGGACTTTGCTACGGTGACATGCACTTTTTCGTCGACCTCATTTAGGATCAGGTCGACCTAATCTGTTGTTTCAGTGTAAAAACAGTTTCATGGTGCCTACTTTGGAGATTCATATCTTACAATTGGCTAGATGGAAATTGGAGATTAAAGGCTTGTTTTGAAGCTGAATTGTCCCTCTACACATTAAAGTACTTGGGAGCTCAATAGAAAGTCCAGAAGACCATTTTTGAACCTGACCAAAAGGCTATGCCAAAACTGGGAAACTGCCTGAAAATGGCTAAGTCTGGCAACGTGTTTGTCAAGCCTACTTTGGAGCTCAATTTGAGAAGCATAGATGCGAGTCAAGTCCAGGGGCCTCTACCACGTTAAATAACATATGTTTTTATACAAAGGCAAGGCATTGGATGAAAGATTGAATATCTTTAAGGCTTCAAACAAAAGGCTCGAAGTTGCTACGAAGGCTGTTTTTCTGGCAGCTTGCTTGTGCTCGAAGTCTGCCAGAAAAACAGCCTTCATAGCAACTAGGGCTGTCATTTCGGTTGCCGGTTAGCGGCTAACCGGCCGGTCTAACCGTTAACCGCCGGTTAGCGGCTAACCGGAAACCGAAAAAAATAAGTGGCGGTCGGTTGTCGGAAGTGGTTAGTGGTTAGGCGGTTAGCCGAAAAACCAATGCCGGTTAACCGGCTATCCGACGCTAACCGACCGACCTAAACTACGTCGTTTTGCCATACCTTAAAACCCAACCCTAGCAGCCTGGCCTTCGTTCCTCCCTCACATCCATCGCCCAGCCGCCTCCTCAGCAGCGGTGACGACTCCCCTCCCCTGCGCCCCGCCGCCTCCACACTCCCATCTCGGCCAGCCCGTCGGCGACGACTCCCGCGCGTTCCTCCGCCCTCACTGCCTCGCCTCCACCCTACCATCTCGGCTGATCCAATCGGCAGTACCCCAGGTGGAGAGATCGGAAGGGTTGTAGAGGACGGCGTCGGAGGCGAGGAGGGAGAGGTGCTGGGAGGGCGAGTTGAGCATGCATGGCGGTCTCGAGCCGCTGGGCGATGTGGCGGAGGTCGAATGAGCGGACCTTGTACCCGGCTATGGCGAGGAGGCCGTCGATTTCAGGCGACTTGGAGATGGTGGTGGTGGTCGTGGAGGAGGACGAAGTCGTCGGCGGGTTGGCGATTGGAATCGCGGCGGTCTCGTATGGCACCATGGTGAATAATTCTGATTGTGGGAATTAGGGGTTTTGTTGCTATCATCTTTCTTCCTGGGATTGGCGATTGGAATTCCGATTTTGGCAAAGGGGGAAGGAGGGAGGGAGGAAGTGAGTCGAGTGGGAATTAAAAGAGAGAGCTGGGTAAAGGAAAAGAAAAGGAGAAGGGGAGCAGAAGGATTCTTTTTCTAATTAGAGGGGTTTTTTTATATAATTTTATTAATTTAGTTTTTTTCCCCCTGCTGGTTGGTCGGTTACTGATCGGTTGGTTTAGGTGTCAGCCGAATCGGCCTTCGTTTTTCGGCCGCTCCGGTTAAACCGCGCCAAAACCGAAAATCGGCCGGTCGGTCGGCGGGTAACCGAGGCTGGAGGACGGTCGGTTGTCGGCAGCAGTTGGTCGTGTCTCGGTTTAACCGATAACCGAGAATTCGGTTTTCGGTTAAACCGAAACCGACCGGTTGCCAGCCCTAATAGCAACTTCGACCCTTTTGTTTGAAGCCTTACAGATATCCAATCTTTCATCCAATGCCTTGAATTTGTATAAAAACATACCTAATTTAACGTGGTAGAGGCTCCTGGACTCGACCCGCATTCATGCTTCTCGAATTGGCCATTTCCAGGCAGTTTCCCAGTTTTGGCATAGCCTTTTGATGAGGTTCAAAAATAGTCTTCCGGACTTCCTATCGAGCTCTCAATCACTTCAATATGTAGAGGGACACTCCAGCTTCAAAACAAGTCATTAGTCTTCCATTTCCATCTAGCCAATTGTATGATATGAATATCCAAAGTAGGCACCATGAACTGTTTTGACACTGAAACAACAGATTAGGTCGACCTTATCCTATATGAGGTCGACCGAATCCAAAATGAGCTCTGCCGGATCCTATATGAGGTCGACCGAATTCTAAATGAGGTCGACCTAATCCTAACTGAGGTCGACCGGAAAGTGCAAGTCACCGTGACATGCATGTCAACGTAGGCACACCCTAAACTTTATTATTGGAGAAGATGACGGGATAAGAAGCAATTTTGGGCGGGTGATGATGAAATTTTGGGCGGCCCAATTTTAGTTGTGTTGGGAAGGCAGAATTTCAAATTTCAATTGTGGTAAGCGGGTGATGATGAAATGTTGGGTGGTGAATGGTAATTGTGAAATTTGTAGAGCCAAACCTCTGAAAAAATCAAATTTAAGTTTGACTGATAATGTGAAACTTATTCCCAAAATAAAAAATTTTATTTTGTATCGGTGAAAAACCAACGTAATTTATAATTTTGTGTTGGTTTAAACCGACACTAATAGCTAAAAAATTGTGTCGGTTACCCGAAACGAATCATAAATTTTGTGTCGGTTCACTTAATTTATATTTTACATTTTAGATCATATACTTAATTTTTTATCATTGAGATTATCACAATATTTGTAGTTATGAGTTAAGAGTTTAGCATTTAGTTGTTAGACCAAGTAGGGTCAATAATGAATACTTTTGACGTGGTCAATGCACAAATTAATTCAAATTTCAATAGTAAGAGACTAGAACTAGCTTGATTGAGCAAACTAAAATGGCCTGCTAAAAATCTTTCTTGAAATGATTAATTTGTTATGACGAACGTGTTCCACATATGATAGAAGCTTTCACTTCTTTGCACTGATGAAGAGAACAAAGTTAGAGAAGGTATAGAGAGAGAGAGATGAGTCGGGACACACGATTTTAACGTGGCTAGGTCAATATGGCTTTACATCCACGTCCCGTGGATAGTTGCCACTATCTCACGAGAGACTCTAACTTTTATTAAAATAAAAGACTCTCTAACCTATGAAATAAAAACAACCTTGACACCTCGTGTCAAGAACCAAATAGGTGCAACTCTACACCTATTCAACCCTTAGCTAAACCCAAGCTAAGCTACCCACTCAATCAATCAAGCCAACACTCTTAGTTTGAATTGAGTGAAGAGCAATCCACCTAGTGCAACTTCCAAGCAAGAATCCTCTCTTGCTCTTGCACTAGTCCCAATTACAAATACCCTTCCTACACTAAAACCCGACCTAGCTTGACTATCTCAACCTCCGAGATATCAAGCTATTCACACCACGAAATATGATCATTGTATTTCGTTATTACAAGGGAGAAGATAACTTTACAAAAGGTGCTCTAGCCTACAAAGAACTCTACTAATTATAGTGGCAGTGTTAGCTCCATTTCCTTTCTTTTGTAATACTTCTTATGGTAAGGATCCTTGTTGATATGGTTACTCTTTTGGGGGCAAACAATCAATTTGAATATTTTCCCTTTTTATGGTAACTCTTTTGTAGGCAAGCAATCAATTTGAATACTTTCCTTTTTCTAAATAGCTTCTTTCACTTTTACATTGATTTGCATCTTTTGATTCTTCCCTACATAAATTGTTAGTCCAACATGGAAATACAATAACATATATTCCAAACATGTTGACCTAAAATATTAGATTTGTTAAGTCAAGCTTTTTGTCTCAACATTAGTTACTAAGTCATTATCTATAGTAAACCTTAATATTATAGATAGGGTGAAAGTTTGCTTTGTGGTTTGCGGTTTAACCACAAACCACACCGAATCACACGTAGTTGGTTAACCACTAACCGCATTTTGTGGTTAGTGGTTTTATTGTGATTAGTAAATTATGAATTTTGTGGTTAGGGATATATCTTTCATATGTGATATATGATTCACATATTTTACCATTTTTGTTATCCTTCATATCTCTCTTATTTTTATTGGTAACGAACTTATAAGAAAAATATAGATCAATTTTTTGAGGTTGGTAAATTGGTTTTTGCGATTAACCACAAACTAACCACACTGAACCGCATCGGTTAGTGGTTACCACTAACCACAGTGGTGCATTTTGTGAGGAGGGTATTTAGAGATTTGTGATTTTGGTTAACAACAAAATATGTCTTTTTTGTTACCCATTTGGCCATTTCCTTCTCATTGCAAAATGCTGCCCAATTTTATTTTTTCTTGATATATATTGCCACCCAACTTCTTCCTTCCCGTTCCAAAAGGCCACCCAATTTTTGTTTGGATTGATCTATATTGGTGCCCAAATTTTGTTTATGTTAATTTATATTGCTGCACAAAAATGTTGAGATAGGAAAAATGTTTTCTTCTTTTCTTTTTTTTAGAGTAGTTTTTTGTTTACAGAATGTATGGTTTGTAAATAGTGTATTGGTTATAAATGTTGATATCACAATTACTATTAGCTACTGAACTTTACCTGTTATGATTAAGTACATGACAAATTTGCAAGTCATACAAATTGATTCAACATTTTGACTAGTTTTTTTTTAAAATTAAGTACATATACGAGGTAGAAAGAAATTGGTTAAAAATTGTGAAAAATATTTTAAATTAGTGTAATAAATGTGTAAGTTGGTAACGAGTAAGTAACTCGATGCGTTGACCCGAACAACTCGTAACCCAATCCACCTGCAGCCCGCCCAATCCAAAACCCAATGAACCCGACCCAACGAACTCGCAACCCAACTAACCCGCAATTCGATTGAACCCAGCCCGAACCCGCCCAATTGACACCTATATGTCCAACCTTGGGGGTCAAATTTGGAGAAATGGAGTTTTTTTCCTTTTCTTTCCCCAACCCACCAAAAAATGGGGTGCAAATAAGTATGATTTATTGAAAAAATTTGAAAAAATGGGATAGAAAACAAAATCCGGAAGTTTGTAGGGTTAGAAAAAAATGTATTTCGGAAGATAAAAATACACATTTGAAAGTTTGGGAGGCTAAATATAACGTCCTGAATTGAAGTTAGTCTAACCAATTCACCACCTACCACTTATCAGTTACCACCTTCTACTATGGTGGTAATTTTTTTAGAAATATATCAAATCTCGTTCTTTTTATATTTTTGCTTCAAATTTGAGTTACAAACGAATGTGGTATAAAGTGATAATGAGTGGTTTGGAATTTTTTTATTGAAATATTTTGAAAATTGATATAACTCTGTAAATCACAATAAAATGATTTTATTTGTAAAAAAAAATTAAAATTCAAAGTAAAACAAAAAAAAAAAAAATCTGACGACTTAAAAAAGTAAATAAAATGAAAAAATTAATATCACCCTCCAAAGTGGGCCACTTAAAATTAAGATGACATATTTAATTTTGCACAAATAAATAACTTAAGAATTATGCATCCTAGTACTAAACCTAAGGCGACTATACAACATAATTAATAAAATAAGGTACCAGTAAGTTACATTTAAAATATTTATGAATATTTTACTTCGTTCCTAAATTTATTATATATTTATTAATACATTAATATATAAAACAATTATTCTACAAATTAGACATGTTATACACGAGGTGTATCCAGAATGCAGGTACACTACGGAAAAATAAAATAGGAATTGGAGGGTTCGGGATTCCTGTCCGTCCGTCAGATACAGAAGCTCCGTCTTCTTTTCTCCTAACCTCCGCGTTGACGGCTAGCCATGGCGGCCGAGAACTACCGCAGCTCGGCTGCAAACGGACGCGGGAAACGACAAGTTACCACCCCTGCCTCCATCAGCAACTTCGGAGATGATCTGCTGGTGGATGTTCTTATCCGCCTTCCAAACCCTAGATCCGCCTTCCGGTGCAAATCCATCTGCAAGCGCTGGAATTCCATCATCTCCGCTCCTTGCTTCTCTCGCCGTTTGGTTTCTCACCAGCGGACTATTTCCGCCGGCGAACCCCCTCTACTACTTCCCTCAGATTGCGACGAATTGATGTCCAGCTTGCTACCTGTGCCTAGCGATGAAATCCGATCCCGCTCCTACGTTTCGGATTGCTTCAAGGACCTGCTCTTGGTCGGGTTCAGCAAGTGGAAGTACGACGAACTGGGCCGAACATTCATCCTCTGCAATCCGTTTACGAAGCAATGGGTAGCTCTTCCTTTAGCGCCTCCGCTGGAACATCGATGTGAGAATGCAAGATTAGTGTGCGAGGCCGGTAACTCTATTACTCTGGATTCGGGCGACGGGGAAGGAGAAGTAATCACTCATAGTTCCGACTATCGATTTCGCGTGGTGCGTATGTATAGACGAGAAGATCCAATTGCTGTAATCCTCGACGTGTTCTGTTCGAATTCGGTTGAATGGACGAAAGTGGTTCTTGATTTGGATTACAACCCATCAAATTGGCTGAGGCATTTACACAAGGTTGTAGTCTCGTTTGATGGAAAACTATACTGGATGACTTGGATGGGTCAGGTGGTTGAGTGGAATCCTTTTCGCCTGGAGAAGGATAATCGTCCTCGAACTTTGATCCGTTTGCCATCCCATCAGTCCCCCTCCATTTGTGTCTCGCAGGGTGCTCTGTACATTATTAACATGGAAGGTACTCGGCCTCCAGGCCGGGTGAAACAAGTGGATGGCTTGATCGTTTGGAGGCTGGAAGAAGAAGGCTGGAAGAGGCATTTCGAAGTGTCGTTCAAGAAGTTAATGTGTGGTGTTGTTATTGACGAATGCGGTCTCGATATCAAGTGCTCGGAGCTAGTGAGGCTTGTTGTCGTGGGTCAACATTCACAGAAGCCGGAAGTTATCTATCTGAAAGGTTTTTATCCCAAGAGCGATCGTTATGTCATCCTCTCGTGCAATTTGAGCGTGGAAGAGTTGGAGTTCTTGGCTCGTGGAAGACAGCACTATAATCATATGGTTTTCCAACCAAGGATGGATCTCTGGCCTACCGCGATTCCAAACTACGAGAGATTACAGGGTATCGAGAGCTGGGTTAAACCCAAGCGTGCGTCAAATTGTTCCACCTCCATTTGCAGCTCGCAGGGTGCTCTGTACATGATTGACATGGACAGCGAAATGGATAGTTTGAGTGTTTGGAGACTAGAAAAAGAAGAAGGTTGGAGGAGACATTATGAAGTCTCGTTGAAGTACAACATTCCGGCTACCGACAAATGGGATAGTAAAATTAAGTGCTCAGAGTTAGAGGCGCTCAATGTTGTTGGTCAACATTCACACAAGCCGGAAATTATATATCTTACAGCTTTTCATCCCGACAAAGAATGTTATGTTCTCCTCTCGTGTAATTTGAGGATGAAAGAGCTGGAGTTCTTGGCTTATCGCGATAAACAATGTAATAGAATGGTGTTCCCACCGAGAATTGATATCTGATCTACAACAATTTTAGACTGTGAAAACCTTGTGAATGAAGATGATAATTAGGAGAATAATTGTTCCTTAACCCTTTTATCTTGTTACCTTCATCTTCATGCAACCTTGTTACAGAGCAATATCTTGTATTTTCGAGTTCGATATCCAATGTTCTAATTTATTGTCTAGTAAATATTCTCTTCAGTGGAAATAGCATTTAGTAGAAGAGAAAGTATATGCTGCAGGGAGGTTGAAGATATATTATATTATTAGTAAAATATGGTTGATCAGATCATGGTTATAATAATTTGTGTAGCAGTAAGTTTTGTGGTAATGTGTCAGCGTGGTAATAGAGTTTGGAGGCGAAGGGTTCGTTTTCTCAAATCCTTCATCCCGGAACTGAGCAGTCATTCTGAGTTGTTACAGTAGAAAGGAGTTCTGTGTTCTGCAGGGAGTTTTGTGCTACCTAAGGGGCTCAAGGAACCAGATTCAGGTTAGTTTCTTAACATAGGCTAGTTACAGTTTAAGCTGGATTTCTTGATGCGAATCAAGTGACAACTGGAGGTAGAACGGGTTAGAACACAAAGCAATTGATCGCTCTGAATGGCATTGTTGTTGATGGATCTTGTTGCAAAATTGAGTGTTCAATTAGGAACATTCGATGTAGTTAGTCAACATTCACAAAAGTCATAAATTGTTCATCTATACAGTTTTCTTCAAAGTCGTCATCATTATGTTATTTGTTGATCATGAATTTGAGGACGGCAGCAGTGAAATTCTTAACTTATCAAAAATTGCATGAATGAGTTGGAAGGAGTTCCAATAGAAAATTGTTCTTTGATAAAAAATTTAGTTTATCGAAAATCGCATGAATGTAGTTCGATAGGGTTTTAATAAAAAATTACTCTCTTATCTACTGCAATTCCAAACTACAAAAATTTACCTACACTAGACTTCAATTCAACCAAACCGTCTATCAAGTAACAACCTTGTGAACTCAAGAGGGATCGGAAGACGAATTGCATTATTTTATTTTATTCCATTTTTATCTCGTTATACTTTATCTTCTTCTAAACTTTTTGAAAACTATCTTCTTCTAAACTTGAAATAGAATGTTATATAGGTGTTGGATGATGAGCAAAGGGAGACGGATTTTTTTCTGTCTGAATTCTGTAGTGCAACTCGATATCTTAAGGGGGCAAATGCATTTGGTAGAAGAAAAAGTGTCTCTTGTAAGGTTGAAAATATTTAGTTGATGAGATACAATATGTTTTATGGTGATGACTACTTGGTATGAGGTTTGAGACCTATTAAAAAACATCCACTGACATGGTTAATCATTTGAACCTGATCCAATTAAATATGGTAATTCTCTAATTAAACCAAATACTTGGTGGTATCCACACCCGAACATTATAAGTAATGAACAGACATAATTTTTGTACTATCCAACTCGAAGTCGCTCGATTAGAAATTCATAAGTACATTTTTCTATGAATCATCATTCTCTCTCACAAGATATTTGGCATTTGTAATATATACTATTAATCATCTACTAACCGAAACTCGAACATAAATAAGTATGATTTTTGTTTACTACTTAAATCAAGAACAAGTATGAATATAGATACAACATGAACCACTTAAGTATGCTAAATTGCTAATGGATATACACTATCAATCTCCGAACCGACTCGTTACCATCCATAGACATAACCGAAGGGAGTCGGCGAAGTAACATGATTCGGATTAATTGCTTAGCAAAAGACTAATTATTATTTAAAATCATAGTTCAAAGCTTCAAGCAGCATCTGCTAGGCGTGCTAACTAGGGAACATATAGCCTATATACCAAGGCTATGAAACCCCTACCGACCCCTCGGTTGGACCCGGTTCGACTAAAGTCATATTTCAAAAATCAAAATGGCCTCCGAAAAACTCTGGGTCTGACCCTTAAAGAGGGAGAAGAAAGAGAGAGGGAAGGGAAATAATGAGTGATATGGGGTTAGGTAAGTTTTCTTTTATGAGAGATATATTCTAATATATACATATAAGATAAATTTCATTTAATCATTAAAATTTTAAATTATTATCTACAACAAAATATAAGATGGAGATTCATGCTCCAACTTTTCTCCATTTTGAATTTGCTGGAAGGAGAGTGTTTCCCGGATGGGTAATCTTGACTTTTCACTCCCTTTTAAGTGTCGCTATGCGTTTTAGATTTCCAACTCATGTATCTCATTGCGACAACGTTTTAGTTCTCAGCAACAACAACCCCTTATCCAGGCTACCCTATGTACCTTGCTTCCCCCACTTCCCCAGCTCGGACCAAGCTTCGTTTCCCCCTTCACCAACCCTCCATCTCCCCCTTCCCTTATGACAGCTATTGGAGAAGATCCCACCAGTGGAGCAGAAGATTGGAATCATCATTCACCTACTGCAGATTTCGATTAGGTTAGGCCGAAAGGGTTCCAAAACTAACCCACTAGGCCAGCGGTGTCGAGCTTGTGTTACCCAATACATATAATGATATAACAACCTAAAGAAGGCAAATTTAAAACAGCAGACTTATAAATAAATTATTAACTAATCTAGGGGTTAGGAATTTGTGTGCTTCATTCGACACTCTGTTATCTTTTCTCCCAATTAATCTCACCCTCTACAAGTCCACCATCGCCATGACGACCACAGACTACTCCATTAGCAAACTCGAAGACGACGAACTCCTCATAGAGATCCTTATTCGCCTTCCAATACAAATCCTTCTGCAATCGTTGAAACTCTCTCATCTTCACTCCCTTCTCCTTTCCTCTCCAATGCAAATCCTTCGCCGCCACCGCAGGAGCAGAACCACCTATTCTGAGTCCCATGGACTCCCATAAATTGGTATAAGTAGCTTCATCCTACCCATGCCTATAAACTAAATTCGACCCCATTACTTCTAATTCTTGATTGCTTCATGGACTTGTGTTGGAATTTTGAATGGTGTGAATGGGAATGAAAGGGGAATGAGATAAGAGAAGCTCTTGAAATACCATATAGGTGAGATGTGGGAAGGTGGCCTCGGTTGGTCGATTTTATTTCATTAAATCTCTTCGATAATTGGTTATGTTGGTTTGTGTAACCCACCAGAACCAAGGTTGTCAACCCGCGGGTTGACCCACTTTAACCCTGACCAGGTGAGAAAAACAGGCCGCACGCACTCGCCGGGCCGACCGCTACAAGGGACCGGGTTGGAGGTGAAATTGTGTCATTTTTTTCTTTGGTTTGCGAAATGCGCCTATTTTCCGATTTTTCTTTTCGCCTAGCTCAACTTTTGGAATGCTAAGTTGAACATTTGAATATTTATGTTATATAAGTGCGTGTGAATTTTCACTATATGTTGGATCTATATACGATATGTTATTTTGGTGTAATATTATATGTTATAACTTATATGTTAGATAAGATTTTGATATAATTTATGAGGATAAGTACAATATAATGACTTTTTCCATATTTCCAGGCCAAACCGGGCTAAAACGGTTGACCCATTAACCCTTGACCCACTAGCTCGACCGGGTCCGGGTCAACCCGTGGGTTGACAACCTTGACCAGAATCGAGTTGAACCAAATTGATGTGACAATTGGAATAACCAACCAGTCCAACTATCATGGGCCAAACCGATGTCGTGGTTGAGAATTTTTTAATGAACAATTGCAATGGTTGGGGTGTAACCACCCACTCGAAGAGTCACATCCTTCACACAATACCCCTTCATTTTCTATAAATAGCTCCAACCCTATGTTTTCATACATAAGTTTTTCCCAATATAATTTTTTATGAAAGAAAGAAAAATAGTTTTCTTCTTCATTGCACTTTCCTCCCTACAAGCGCATACAAGCAAACAGAGTGGTACGACTTCTCGTCATTCGTTGCGTTTGTTGATTTTTTGGGGTTTCAAGGATCGGTATGCCAGAAAAGGTACGTCCATTATATCCAGCGAGAAATAGTTCCATGACCTTGGGTACCATAGAGGGGAACTAAATTCTTTAAAGAGAAATAGTGCATTCTATTGGCTCGGACGGTGTTTACGCATGTTTTGATAACTTTCTATGCATGAGTATCAATTCTTCTCCTTAACTTTTTGTTCATTTTGTTTCTATATATGACTTGTGTTGCAAGAAACATAGTATACGTGAACATTTTCATAACAACTTGCTCTTAATCAGCTTCGAGAATGGGGTACACCAGCAACAAGGACAAATTTGATAGAACATACTTCATCTACAATCCATTCATGAAGCAATGGGTTTGCCTTCCTCTAGCACCTCGAAGGCCAGTGGAAGGCATCTTACTACAAGATTAGTGTGCGAGCCCTGTAATTCTATTTCTCTAGATACAAGGGAATTTGAAGAGAAATCATTCACTCATGATTTGGAGTAGCAATTTTGCATGGTGCGAATGTATTACAATTGGTTGGATGTGTTCTCTTCAAAATATGAAAGTTGAAATTCACTGCGTCTTGATCGTGCTATCGATCAGCACCGAATTCAAGTTATGATAAAGTTGTAGTTTCACACAATGGGAAGTTGTATTGGAAGAATAGACAAAGGAAAGTTTTCAAATGAAATCCTTTTCGCCCACGAGATGACCGAACTCTTATAGATGCTCATGAGATCAACAATTACCGAACCTCTGTTTGGACCTCCCAAGGCCTTGCACATGATTCTCCTACATGCCAGGGAAATTGGTCATCCAACGGATGCATTGAGATTTTGGGGATGGGAGAAAGGTTGGAGGGCACGATATGAGATGTTGTTGAATAAGTTTACCCTTGTCACCGGAAGACATCACGGATTTAAAGTCTTAGAGAGTGACGGGTTACATGTGGTTGGTCAGCATTACAAAAAATCAAAAATTGTATTTTTATGATGCATGCTTCCTCATTATTATGGTTATGTTGTCTTCTCTTGCAATTTGAAGAGGAAAGAACTAAAGTTCATTACTTGTGATGGATTATGGTTTGGAAATGATCC